TGCGTGCGTGCGCGCGTGCGCGCGCGCATGTGCGCACGCGGCGCGGGCGAGTGCTCGTGCGCGTGCATGTGTGTGTGTGTGTGTGAGTGTGTGCGCGCGCGCGCGCGCGCACGCTTACGCGTGTGCCCATGCGAGTAACAGCAGCGCAGGTGATGCTCAGCGTGCTGCTGCCCTCGTCACCAAGGAAGCAGCTTGAGCGTGGTGGCAAGCAAGCCGCTTTTGCAGTGGTCGGCGTCGCAGTGGCGGGCAATGTTGCCTTCTGGCGCAGCGGCGGCGGCTGCGCAGTCCCCATGACCTAGCGCGGCAAGAGGCCTACGCGTGGGGCACCCTATGGAGGGCACTCTGAGGGTCAGTTTTATGGTGCAGGGCGGGTGAGCGATGCATGTCCACCTTCACCTGGCTATTAAATTATGCTGCCTTATGCTGACGTCGTCCGCTTGTCAGGTTTGATGACTGATCCATCAGGTTATGCTGTAACATCTCTGATCACAGTTGCAATCTGCAATTTGTACGCTGCAAACTGTCGCCCCCGCGCGCTTTCTGGCCGGGAACTCATGGGGGTGTTGTGGTGTGCAGGCAGATATTGGGCAGTGTGAATAATAATCGCACCAGCTCAGCTCAGTTCCGATTGTGCCAACCCCCATGGCATGGCAGCGCGTCTCTGCGGCTTTTCACAGTCCATTGCAGCCTGAAGCTCTTGCAACCTGTTGTGCGTCCACAAAAACCGTCCCGCATCTACAGCGCGATCACCACTCCTGCTATGAAACACGGACGGGCAACGCTTGTTGTGGCGAAGGGTTTGTGTTGAATGATGTTGTGATGGCTGCCCACGCATGCGTTGGGCAAGCACCTGACGAGGCTGACAGAACATACAATTCAACAACTTGTTTGTTGCAACACACAGCACGACCACACCTTCTGCGCTGCTATTGTGAAGTGGGACGGCAGTGTACATTGGCTGGGGTACGGAACAGGCTGCTGGTGATGTCACAGGATCTCACACACCGCAATGACCGGTTGACAAGGCATGGGCTGGTCGCCTTTTGCCGCAATCACTTAGACGCCACGTGAATCTGACTCGTCAACACCATGGAGGCAGCAGGATTCACTTCAAGATGAGTATTGTAACAGCGTGTTGTAGTTGCCCCCTTCGGGAGCCATCCAGGCTCAAGCTATCAAACTATGCAGCATCAACACAGACAGGGACTCCCCAAGCGCGTTTGGTGCATTGTATGATGACGCTGCAATCCCCTTTGCTCTCTTGCGGGCTTCTTCACAACAGCAGTGGCAACACCTCCTTGCTGAGATTGCGGACTGCTGCTTTAAGCTCCTCTCCTGATTTGATTCAACTTTGAACAAACCCCCACATACTGGAGAGGCTGGGCCAACGAGCTCCGAAACATGCACCC